CTTTTTTTTTGGATGATGAGTACATAGAGGTATCCAACTTGAAAAGCTTAACATGCCAACTTTCTGGATCTGTCATCCTTAGAGGCGAAGCCGGTTACTTTCTTACCATGCCCGCACTTCATTCAAATTCGACTGGAACAAAAGAGAACTTTTTGCCGGTGGGAAGGAAGCTAACACCAACCGAACTGAATCATGGTAACTGATGTAAGTTCTAAAAAGACTGGTCGAAAATCAGACCAGAAGGTCAGAAGTTTTTGCCTAACCTGATAAAAGAGCACCATCTTGAACCGTATCCGTAAGACACACTGAAAGGACGAACATATAAGTAAAAGAAGAAGGAATAATGGTAAACGTGGGGAGATGCAAAAAAGGGAACAAGGCACAAATCACTTCGGCGCCCACGCACGCCACTATGCAATAAAAACGATCACCCGGGCGTAGTAGAATGATTATTGGAATTAAACGTTGGAAGTAGAAAAACACTGCGTGACTGCCGTGTGGTATAAATAAGAGGGAAAAAATTTTTGTAAACAATTTTCGAAATGCGGAATTTGCATTTCTGTTTTGATACACATTTCAAAACAAACAAATATCAAAACGAACTAAATTGAAAAATAGACATCGATAAACGTTTCAGTAGTCACGAAAGCCTACGAAAGTCGAAACAGTAACAACGACTGGCAGAGAAGAATTTGAAAGAACTAACAAAATACTAATTATATGTCAGCCATGAAGTCACCAGCGCAAATGAAACCGACTATTTTTGTGTACTTCTCATAGAACAAAATGAGTGATTTCGGATTATCGAAAACTGACTGCAAGTAGCCAGGTACAGAAGAAATGAGAACGGCTCTTCCATGCTTCAGCGATCGTCGACAACCGCAGAATCTTCTTCAAATGAATCGGGCGCTCTCCATCGCTTAGCTTCTGTTTCGAGGTCATTCGAAATAGTCGCCTCCACGGTTGATCCGTATGATCTGATTCGCTTCCTGCGACCGCGCAGTTCGTTCAGGTAGAAGATGTCGACGTTCAACGGCGAAACGAAACTGCTCTGCAAGTCAGACGCACCTAAGCACAGATCGGCGATGCCGGTTGACTGGACGATGGAGCCGGTCAGACCGCTGGTGGAAAGCGCAGCGGTAACAAGGCTACCTGCTGCTACTTGAGAATCAATCATACTGTCAAACACGCTCCTGGCCCCGCCGTGTTGATAATGAGGAGCAACGCTCTTCGAAACGCCGCGACCGAGCAGCGGCAGGTTCTGCGAGTTGATATGCAACGGTAGGGGAGACAGCGTGCTTTCGTACAGGCAACTGAGAGGGCTGAACGTCAGGTCAGTGCTGGCCATGGCCGGGTTGATGGCCGAGTATTCGCCGTGCGTCGAATGCAGATCCTTGGCCGCTCGCTCCTGGAAGGCGTTCAGAAATGATTGAGCGCTCTTCGGAGGTTTCCACTCGGGGTTGGTGGTCATGAAGTGCAACAGGGACATTTCGACCTTGCCGTTATCTGCATGTTCACCTCCCGGTCCACGTTGATGTTCAGAGGCGACTGCAACCCGCTTATGGCCCATGTCAAAATTCCATGATGGGTCACCGTGCCTACTGACGTTCA